CTATCTACATACACTGATTACAATCTTTAGCCCATTGATAAACTTTCTTTTACAGAGAAAACTATGAAATAGACAATTGTGGCCTGTCATATGTTAGCATTCTGTAGATTAGTAACATAAGCTAATTACTAATTAGTAATTAATAGAAGCATTCTGCTTCTCCTTCTCTCTGCCCCTCCCCCACCCTCCCAACCCTTCCCCCACCCGCTCATGCATGCACACACTCTCTCTCTCAAATAAATAAAATCTTTAAAAAAACAAAATACTGGATTAGTTTCTCTATTTCTGAGAGTTTCAGGAATACTTAATTTATGTAAGTGCTCATTCACCTCTAAGGCAGCTTGAATAAAGCTCCTTTAATGAAAAAAAAAAAAACTCCTTTAATGGATTTTATAAATTAATTTGGTAATATCATCCAGAGGTAGAAAAATATCACTACAAGTACAACATACATACATACACACACAAACACAAAGAGCTACCGTTTCCATTCTAAAATTTTAGGCATGAGTTGTAAAACATAGTAATACAATTCACTGGCTTATACAAAATAATCAGTTGTCTTTCTCCACTTCCTATTTTATACAAATTGTTTCTAGGAAATGCAGGGCCAAGTTAATGTTATTTACCAATTGTGTGTAAAGACCACCTTCAAGACATTCTCTCGCCCTGACATGTCATCTTATGAAGGTTGTGGACCAAATTTCAAATGAGTGACCAAGGAGACATCTAGCAACTGTCTGGATGTCTCCAAAGCTCATCCAACTGACCAAAACAACCAGTCTATTTCCAATTAGCTTTTTTCCTTTTCAGGTCAGGTAGTTGCTTTGGGGGGGCGTCCCTAAGTCCCCTGACAGTCCCCAGTAGAGGGCAAGGGGCCAAAATTCAAGTGACCATAAAGACTGTGGTGGAAAAAGATCTGGCAGAGGTAGAGAGGAGGAGGGAATTTGGAGGGGGATGTAAGAAAGATTCAACAGAACTGGAGGGAAGACTGAGGTGAGGCGGTAAGAGGAAGAAGGAGGAAGAGCAGCAATGGGAAGGGAGAGCTCTTCAAGGAGATTTGGGGAGATCTCAAATTTCCCAAAGAAGCCAATGAAGTTCTTTATTATTCTCAGGAAAAGCATGCCAACACAAATGGAGGTAAACAGAGTTGGCAGAAAACATAGTTAGCAGGGGTTCAAGAAGGATATTCGAGTCAAAGGAGAAGTTCCCATGAAAAAGCAGGACTTAACACAGAAAACTAAGAGGTGTTATAGACAGCCAGAAAGAGAGACTTCCAGGACAAGGAGTCAATGGGGGGGAGAGAGGTGGAAGAGTTCCAGGAAATAATCCCTACTCTTGAAAAAAAAAAAAAAAAGCCAGGAAGAAGATATTTCCAGACTGGTAGGTAGCTTTCAAACAAAGAAACCTAGAATTCTAACCCAGTTTCTTACAAGCAGCTGTGCCTGGCACTCTGAGCTTCTTACAAACATGGGACTCCAACCCAACCTGTGTTTATCTGGGACTCTATTTCATCTTCTAAGGTATACTCAGACTCTTAAGAATCAAAATCTGTCCTTACCAGCTTCCACGGACATTTGTCCGGAGCAATGGTTCAGGAGTCGGACTCACCAATGGATCCCCGATCAATCAGTCAGGAGTGAAGATATAAAGTCTTCAAAGGTATGCACTTAGGGTCCTGGGTGAGAGGTCTGGGGGTCCAATGATGAATCTGATCCTATCCAAGTTGAGGCAACCATAACTGTTAAAAGGAGAAAAATGATACTTGTTAAAGCATGGTAAGGAAGACTTTGGGGGTGGGGGGTTGAGGTTGTAAACTTTTGTAGTGGAGGAAAGAGATTGGGCTCAACTCTGGATACTGCATGGGCAAGAGGGACTTTATAGCTAAAGAGAAGGGTGGGGTCAATGAATGGAAAATAATATATTAAGAGGAAACATCAGGGTTCAGGGGGCTCCAACTAAACAGCCTAAAAGATTCTTGCTGAAAACAGGCAAGGGAATCAGACATCACCTTCAGGAGTGTGTAGAAGGAAGAACTCAATCAGATATCAATCAGATAAGGGGAGGGGTTCCTGCTAAAACTACATTTTACAAGGATGTGTACATATGGCCCAGGAAAGTTTCAGAGGTCCGACAAAAGCCTGCCCAAGAGTTTTTGTCACCTATTTCTTCCTTTTACTCCACACATAATACTTCTGACACCAGACATGTGGGTTTTTTTTCCTCCCACACCAACCAATTCTCCAGCACCAGTCGCAATTCAATTCAATTCAATTCTGACACTAAATGGAGTTAACGCAGACCTCGTGACGTAAGATCTTTCTTGTAAGACTGCCTGTCCCCCACCTCGCTTCAGATACCAATCACAAGTAGTGGGTCCCCACTACCTACAACTTCTGTATGACTTGGTTACAAATTGGACATTCCCATGACCCCCTCACTGGATTCAATCACTTGCTAAAATAGCTCGCAGAACTCAGAAAAATACTTACTTACAGTTACTGGTTTATTATCTAATAAAGCATATGGTAAAACACAGATAACCAGCCAGGAGAAGAAATACATAGGGTGAGATCTAGAAGGGTCTGGCGCAGGAGCTTCTATCCCAGCAAAGTTGAGGTATGCCACCCTCACCATGTAGATATGTTCACCACCCTAGAAGCTCTTTCAAGTCCACACCTTTGGGATTTTATGGAAGTCAATCATATAGGCATGATCAATTATTAACCCAATCTCTAGCCCCTCTCCCCTTCCAGGAGAATAGGGATAGGGCTGAAAGTTCCAAACTTCTAATCATGGCTTGGGTCTTTCTGGTGATGGGCTCCCATCCAGAAGCTATTCAGAAGCCAAGAGTCACCTCATTAGGTCAAAAGACACTCCCATCACCAAGGAAGTATCACGGACTTAGAAGCTCTGTGTCAGGAATTGGCCGAAGACCGAATGTTAGAACACAAGACACTTCTAGTGCTCTTATCATTTAGGAAATTACAAAGGTTTCAGGAGCTCTGTACCAGGAACCAGGCACAGATACACATATATTTCAAAAAGCAAAATTAATGGATTTCATCTATAATCTTTTTGATGATGGCCACAAGTTTCAGCATTTGAATTTGAATAACTAATGTATTTGCAGCATTACATCTACTTTAAACATTCAAAAATTACATTTAAAAAACCATGTGTACCTAGTGGTTATACAGCTGAAGGCAATTACTGGAGAATGTTATATTTCTCAGTTTAAAAAAGCATGACGTTTTAATATGCTAAGAGTTCTGCTAATGTAAGATTTCCATCCAATTACATTTCTACAACAGAATTGCTCTCCAAGGCACTTTACTTCAACTGAAAATGTCAATTTCATCACAGGACATTTAGAATTTGGGATGTCATTTGGCTTTAGGAAATCTGTCTAGATTCAACAAAAATCAAACTCAGACACAAAATAATTGTATCTTACATAAAACTATTCATAATTACTGTTTACCTACCAATAGAGGATCTTAAAGGATCTTAAAAGTAAGCCACATTTATTTCAATTACAGATAAAGTTGTGTTGGTTTTAAACCTGCACCCGATTTATTCTATCATAATCAAGTAGCTATTCCAAGAATTTCTTAGAAAAAGGCACTTGCTGTATTACAAAGATGCTGTGCTAGGCTCAATTCAGACTATGCTGCTCAATGACACCAGGTTGTTTTTTGTTTTTGTTTTTTTTTTTTTAATCAGGTTTTAAATTAAATCTGGATCAACAGAACCAGAATTAGCTACAGGCGTCACTACCATAAAACAAGAGAAAACATTTCGTTTTATTATAGATCTACTAGGCTACTACAACATTTGGTCATTTAAGTTACCTTAATTTTCTCAAAGAAATTCTGAAGTAGCTTTCTTTCCCATCTATCTTAACCTGTATTTGTAAAGGTTTAAATGCTTTAAACTCTGCAGCAGAGAGAATTTCTATTTGCATTTTACTTGCAAGGAAAAATCCAAACAGCCCCCTTCACACCATTCTTTTTTGTGACACTCTTTTCAGAGATGACTCTATCAGAAGTCTATTAATTAATAAATTCGTTGCTCAGTTAGCAGCATAGAAATAACTGTATGTTAGTGGTTAAGAAACCCCATAATTGAAGCATTTAACACCTACTGTTGCTCTAATGCCAGCAGGCTGCCTCAGACTAATGAGCTCCCCAGGTGCCACTGTCTAACACAGGCCTGTCAAGATGAGCACTCAGCAGAGGAGTCTCCAGAAGAATTCCTCCAATCGCTGCACTTGCTTGTCACACATAAACAAAGAGAACTGATTTTTAGCTTCTTTACCACAAGCAAATGCACTGAAAACAATTAAAGCATCGCATGATCTGGGAAAGAATGTTCCTTCCCTTCTTTACAGTGAATTCTGAATTAGATTTAAAAAAAAAAAAAAAACAACAACACGCTACTTATAAAGCTATTTTCTCAGGTTGGTACTGGATCCCCCTAACACAGGCTGTTGCAACCCTGTAGTTGAAGGATCAAAACTACATCGCCAGACGTGCCAAAATCGGAACCAAGAGACAAAAGGACCATTCTTCTGTCACTGGCGAACGTGACGGTAAAATCACGTACCTGCGGAGCATTCAGGTTGAGTTACACACTGGATGATGCAGCCCAACACAGGCGAGGATCTCCAACCGTCCAGAGTGGATCAGAGTGAAGGCCGGCGCCCAGGTCCAGAGCGCCCCTCACAACGTCCCCATCCCAGCTCCTCCCGGCCCAGAAATCCCCAACTCCTCGGCCTCCACGATCTTAACCCCGGTTTCGCACGAGTCTCCAGGACCCTGACTGCAGGTTTTTGAGGCTCCCACTCCACCACAAAGAAAGTTCCCGACATTGTAATGGCATTTCTCTTCAGAACGCAAGCTCCCGACCGCGACCTCCGACCGAGCGTGTCTCCCTCGGGTGCCCGTGGAGGGGGAGCCCCCTCTCCTCTGGACCCCCCGCCCGTCAAGTCTACTCACAAGCTGGCAGCGTCAGGGGGCAGCGGGCTCGACAGCGCCTTCCAGCTCGGCGCTGGTAGTTTCCTGCGACTGCAGTCCAGCAGGGGGATGCGGCACGAGCAGGGCGCGGGGCAGAGGCCTGCCCGGGCGGCCGGCAGCAAGAGGAGGACAGCCGGGGCGAGGACGAGGAGCCGGGAAAGCGGTCCGGACCCACGACCCAGCAGCGGCTCCTCCCGGGCGCCTTGGGGCGCCGGCGCCATTTTGCCCCCCGACCCGGACCCAGCCGAGAAGAGCTGCCAACCAGAAGAGACAGCTCGGCGGCGACGTCCGGCGGCTGCGCGGCCACCCCGGGCGAGGCGGTCGCCTGTAGCCTCTAAAGGGAGGAGAGGGGCGGATACGCACAGCAGCGGGGGCGGCGGCCGGGGACACACGGCACGGGCCTTACGGACGACGCTCCTCCGCCCCGCCCCGCCCCGCCCCGCGACGCAACGTCCTCACGCACAGGAGCCACCCAATCGGTGCCACGGAACGAGGTCGCGCCGGGGGCGGGGCTCTGCGAGAGGCGGGGCCGGTGAGTGGGGGTTTCTTAAGGAGGACTTTAAGGTGGCCGGCCCCTTGCAGCGCCCCTCTGGGCTCCGCCGCCAAGCCTCCGCTGGAGGGCGCAGTGGCTCCTTAAGAGGAGCAGCGGCTAGAGCTCTGCGAGTCGCGTTCTGATTGATTGGGCGTTATCTACTTTAGGGTAGTAGAAAAGGATCTTTTTTCTAGGCTCCAAGAAAGGGGAATAATAGAAGAGCTACCGTCCTCATCGCGGACTCTGAAGGTAGATTGGTAACCTGGTGTTGGCTCCAGAGCCCAGCTGGGGCCGCCTCTGCCCCCTCCCGCTGGGTGCAGCTCCTGCGCTCCTGCAAGTGGCCGGCAGTCCCCACCCTGTTCACAGGAAGCCTGTTATCACCATCAGCGGCTGGACTCCCTGAGCTCCGCAAGGCAGAGGCCTTGTTTATTCATCTGTGTACCTCCAGCTTCTTTTCCTTTTTTTGTAAGCTTTTATTTATTCACGAGAGACACACAGAGAGAGGCGGAGACCTAGGGAGACAGAGGGAGAAGCAGGCTCCCTGCGGGGAGCCTGATGTGGGACTGGATCCCACCACCCCGGTAACGCCCCGAACCAAAGGCAGACGTTCAGAAACCACTGAGCCACCCAGGTGCCCGGTTCCTCCAGCCTCTATTCGAGCTTGGAGTTTAATAAATGTTGATGGGACTGCACCTACGAGGCATATCTCTAAGGAAAACACCCTGCTGTCCTCTGTTTTAGAGAAGCTGTCCTAGATGCTCACACTCAGAAAAGCAAAGGGGACATTAAAAGGGGATGTTAAGTAGTCAACAAAGCGAAGGCTGGGTCTGACAAAATTTTTTTATTTATCTAAAACAGAGGTTATGAAAAACATACTGGGAAGAGCAAAGTCTGACCACCTTATGCTCACTCGGCCATTTATTATAACAAGTTTATGAATAAGACTTTGAGAATAAGAGTGGTAGCTCACTTATGTGGTGCTTTTACACTTTTTTTTAATCTTTTATTTATGAGAGTCGCACAGAGAGAGAGGCAAAGACACAGGCAGAGAGAGAAGCAGGCTCCATGCACCGGGAGCCCGACGTGGGATTTGATCCCGGGTCTCCAGGACCGTGCCCTGGACCAAAGGCAGGTGCTAAACCGCTGCGCCACCCAGGGATCCCGCTTTTACACTTTTCAAAAAGCATTTGCATCTGCTACCTTGTTTGGTATCTGAATGACTGTTAAAATTGACAAGACGGCTATTGCCAATAAGAAAACAGGCCCAGAGAGGTTAAATGAAGTGTTGGGAACAAATTAAACTGAGTAAATTTGAAGATCTAGTTGGCTTTATGCAACATTCATGAACCAGGTGGCATTCCACCCAGCTAGTAAAAAAGGAGCTCTGGGGGGATGTACTAAATGGAAGGCATTTGTAGGCAGAAAGGGGCAGAAAAACAAAGTTTCTAGCAAAAAGTTACCCCCTTTGGTGAGGAGAGAGGGGGTCTATCAGGCACATTAACTCACCAGTGCTGACCAGGTTTAATTCCAGACTCATTGATCAGAAACCACAGTCCCAGGAGAGGCTAAAACTGTAATTAGGTTAGGTATTTGATCTTGGTTTGCTGATGTGGGGCTCAGCACAAGTGACTCCATTTTGGATGTGTTGTTTCTATTTCAACACAAGTTACCTGGAGCAGAGACAGACTGGCATTTACTAAGGGTTTTCTGACTCTTGCGAATTGAAAGACTGAACAGGTTAAAAAAAAAAGAGAGAGAGAGAGAGATAATGCCTAGGTCATAGGGTTGTCCTAGGAAGTAACTGAAATCAATCTTTCCGTGGCAGGTTTGGAGTTACAATTATGCTTTTAAAACCCTTTTTTACATTTTTAAGTTCAAAATGTTTCTTGGAATCAAAGACATATGCAATTCTCCAATCTGAACCAAACTTTAAAAGCCAAGACAGCAGCGTGAAACTTACTCTTCTCTTCCCTTCCTGGCTGTTTAAGCATGTTTAACAACCTCCACTAAGAAACCAAGCATAAGGGATCCCTGGATGGCGCAGCGGTTTGGCGCCTGCCTTTGGCTCAGGGCGTGATCCTGGAGACCCGGGATCGAATCCCATATCGGGCTCCAGGTGCATGGAGCCTGCTTCTCTCTCTGCCTCTCTCTCTCTGTGACTATCATAAATAAATTAATTAAAAAAAAAACAGGCATAAGCAGCAGTATCTTAGTACCTCTCTGAATTATAGTTTCAGAGCTTCCCTATGGGCACAATAGAAATTCATGCTCTTTATCCTGTGTCTTCACCAATAAATTGTGCAAGTCACACCAGCTAGGAGACCCTCCAAGTTCTTAATTCCTTCTGCACATTATTTTTTACCATTCTGATAGCATTTATATACATCTTCTATCTCTTGTATCCCCCATACAGACTAGCACAGTACGTGTCATATAATAGACACACAATAAATGTTTGATAAATGAATAGATGATAATATTATTTTACTCTCTACTAGAAAAAACTACCTAAAATTTTTTCTTTAAACTTTTAGCATGGAAATTTTATTTTATAGCAATAGAAGAATCATAGAATAAGACCCATACATATGTCCAACTAGATTTAACAAATACATGTTATTAATCAAGTTTAATGATCAATTTCTCATTAACAATGGAATAAAGAGTTTTTACATTCATTGTCCTAAAATTGTCCTATTAATCCTTGGGTGCCAAGTACCTGGGCCGAGTTTTCTGAGTTCAGTGTAGCCCATAAACCTGAGACCACACCAATTCCAGACTACTCATTTTGGATCCCTTCTTGCAGAAACTTTCTATAAACAACAGACCTTTGTATAAACACCATCCCCTTAAAATTTATCTGCCCCATCTCCCATTTTCTCAGGACTTTGCTCTTTGCTAAGGCATAGCTGACTAATCTAGCCAATTTTACTCTCCTAAACTAGATATCCCAAAATCACTCACACTTTTGCTTCTTTCTTACTTCCCAAATCCAATCAGTCACTGGGCTTTATTGATTTCCCCTAAGGAATGCCAGAAATCTTTCCCTTCTTCCCATCCCCACTGCTACTGTCTTTGTACAGACCTTCTTCTCTCATGGGTATTAATCCAGTAACCTCTGAACCCATCTCTTGTCCTCACCCCTCTGCCAGAACTATTTTTCCACAGCATAGTGATATAAATATGTTGTTAGTTTTTCCCTGCAAGAAAGATTTGAGGAGTGCCTGGTTGGCTCAGTCAGTAGAGCATGTGCCTCTTGATCTTGAGGTTGTGAGTTCAAGCCCTGCATTGTGTGTAGAGATTACTTAAATCTTAAAAAAAAAAAAAAAAAAAAAAAAAAAAAAATTTGGTGTTCCCAGTGGTTTTTATTCTGGTTTTGGTGTTTTCCCCAATGTTTTATAGAGAACATGGATTAGTTTGGAAAACAGAAAAAAACATACTTTTTATTAATGACTTAACATTGCCTGTAATATCAAATTCCAAATTCTCTGTTCTACCATTGAAGATTCCACAGTCAGGGCCCAACCTAACTACCTCCCACATTTCCCATGATCTCCTCACCATGTTCTCCATATTCCAGCCACAGGAAATTATTTGCCTTTCATAAATTGGTCCATGCATGTCTATACTTATTTGTACATGCTGTTCCTTCTAGAGGTTGTCCTACCCTACCTTCTCCAGCCAGACATTTCTTACTTTTTGAGGTTCTTCCTCTTTAAAGATTTCTCTTACTCTTCCAGGCATTCAGTAGTTTCCACCTCCACTTTTCAACCACAGTCCATGGCATTATATATATATTTTCATATTTGTCAACTCCATCCCATTGTGTTGAAAATAACTTTTTCTAGTTGTCCTCCTAAGTAAGATATCTCTATACTCATTTTATATCCCTGGTGCTAAGTGCAGTGTCTGGGATATAAGAGATAGCAAATGAATATTTGTGACTGAATAAATTATTGTTAACTCCACTGTTTCTCATTATTTACAATAGCCAAATTATGGAAGCAGCCCAAGTGTCCACCCAGAGATGAATGGATAAGGAAGATACAGAGTGTGTGTGTGTGTGTATACATATACATATGTATATTCCATTATATATACATATAACATACCCTAAAAAAGAATGAAATTTTGCCATTTGCAACAACATGGATGGAGCTAGAGAGTATAATGGTAAGTGAAATAAGTCCATCAGAGAAAGACAAATAACACATAATTTCACTCATGGGATCCCTGGGTGGCGCAGTGGTTTGGCGCCTGCCTTTGGCCCAGGGCGCGATCCTGGAGACCCGGGATCGAATCCCACGTCGGGCTCCCGGTGCATGGAGCCTGCTTCTCCCTCTGCCTGTGTCTCTGCCTCTCTCTCTCTCTGTATGACTATCATAAATAAAATAAAATAAAAAGATACACATAATTTCACTCATATGTAGAGTTTAAGAAACAAAACAAATGAACAAAGGAAAAAGGAGAGAGAAAGAAACCAAGAAATGGATTTTTAAAAAAAGATTTTATTTATTTATTCAAGAGAGACAGAGAGAGAGAGAGATGCAGATACACAGGCAGAGGGAGAAGCAGGCTCCATGCAGGGAGCCCAACACAGGACACAGGACTCAATCCAAGGTCTCCAGGATCAGGCCCTGGACCGAAGGTGAAGGCGGCGCTAAACTGCTGAGCCACCGGGGCTGCCCTAGAAGTGGACTTTTAATGCAGAGAACAACTAATGGTTATCAGAGGGGAGGGGAGGGGGGGATGGGTGAAATAGCTGATGCGATTAAGGAGGGCACTTGTGATGAGCACCAGGTGTTTCATGGAAATGTTGAGTCATCATATTGTACACCTGAAACTAATATCACACTGTATGTTAACTATACTGAA